TCATTTGCTTATTCTTAATTTTAAGGGATGATGAAGAAATTAGACCTATTTTTCCTCCTAGAGGATTGCGATAAAGGGATCCTCATTCTCCCTATATTTTCTTTTTGTTTGCTAAAAGGCTATCTTTTTTCTTATTAAAAAAGAGGAAAATTGATTAATTCATGGTTGTCGAGTGTCAATAGGAGCTCCTATTATAACTCATTTATTTTCCACATATGACTATAATATATTTTTAAGAACATCTCTAGAGAGTGTGTTGATATAATAATTGCTTAGAAGTCTATGAACATGTATCTAATTGTTCGCTGAAATTGAATAAATCCTCATCTTGTTTAGTAGAAAAACTTACTTGCACAAAAAAGGAGGAGGTTTATAAGAAACTTTAGATTACAAAAAGTGCTCAAATGAACAAATTTTGGTTGTCGACTATGATCGGAAGGAAAAAGAAGGATCTTTTTTTCATCAAGGATAAGAGTGTTGCGATGGGAGAGATGTCTTCCCATAAAATTCATTAGTGCCTTTAACTTTAAATGGATTCATGATTTTAATTTGGTAACATTAGCTAGACAAGGGTGGAGGCTCCTAATTAATCTTATGTCACTAGTAGGTTGTACCTACAACACAATATATTTTCTAAATGTTGAGGTGGGTAAAAATTCAAATTTTATTGAAATATCATAGAATCTCAAGCTCTTTTAAAGGATGGTTGCCGATGGAGATTTCCTAGTGGTTTATAAATATATGAAAAGATCCATGGCTACTTGATTTTGATAATCCAATGATCTTATCTATATCTCCACTTGGTTTTGATGAGGACACTGTTGATACTTTACTGACATATTATGGTTAAGCATAGGATAGGCAAATGATTGTGTCTTTGTTTAATAAAAGAGATCAAGAGCTAATTCTAGAAGTATTGGTTTGTCAACATGAGGGAGAAGCCTTATGGTTGTGGTTGCATGAATGATCTTTATACTATAAAAGGTAAATGGAAAAGAACCTTGAAAGGGCCCAAAAGTTTATGAGGGAGGATATATGGGATAAGTCATGAAAGCTAAAGTTTCCCTCAAAGGTGAAGAATTTTTATAGAGGACTTGTAAATCCTATTTACCCTAGATGGATATACTTTTGCAAAGGAGATCAGATGTTGATAAAATTTGCCCAATTTATAAAGAAATTAATGATTCCACCATCCATTTGTTAGTTTGTTTTTAGCAAAGCATGTGAATGTTTGAGTATGATAGCTTGCATTTCAACTCTTTTAAGAATTCATTTATTTTTTTATCCTTGGCCAGATGAGGTTGATGTTAGTTTGCTCACTGTAGTGCTCTATGACATTTAGAAGAATAGAATGATCTGATATGGAGTAATAAGGATCGAGCTATTGTAGTAATAGTAGGGCCACTAAATGTTCTCTCAATTATTGGTTGATGGCTCAGTTGGGTAAAGTTTCAGTTTCTACAATATAAAATACGGGTTTTACGTTAGTAGTAAGTCGTTATTAACTTCCCTTAGCAAGTTAATTGAAATGCAACATTGATGTTGTTATATTCAATGATAAGAGAAAGATGAGTTTTGGCGCTATGGTGCACAATGAAAATAGGGCAATTTTTGCTGCATATGGTTTGATGAATGGATGGGAGATCCTTTTTATGCAAAAGTGCTGGATTTTAGAAAGGCTCTAAGTTGGTTGAAGAGTATAAATTTGGGATGAATAATATTTGAATTGAGATTCTTTGATAGTGTTTATAATATTTTAGATCTGTCATACTTTGGTTTGATCATTAATTATTGTCAATAGTTATTTAAGGAGCTTCACTAGATCTTTGTGTGTTTTCTCAATATATTAGCAAACCAAGTTTTCCACACTTTAGCAAAGGAGTTGGTTTTTTGTCTGGTATTCGAGGGTGGGTTCCTATCCCTTCTATTTTGATTTATGAGGATTGTTTTTGATTTAATATATGTCTACAGTTTATTTCAAAATAAAAATTAATTTTAATAGAAATTTTGGCCAAATAACACTTTAGTCCATTTCTTTGGCTTATCAATGCATACAATAGATGAATAATAAGAAAATCCAATGACTTGATTTTCTCTCAGCTTATATATATATATATATATATATATATACGACCAATTATTTAAAATTTGTTCATTAGAAATTGAAAATTTAACACTAATATATACCTATAGAGAAATAAAATTTTTTCGAACAATTATTTTACCAACTATAGAATTCATTAAACGTAGAAAATTTATCGATTTATTATCAGCCTTTCAGTATTTGGAATTTAAAATTTCATAATGTTTTTATAATGTGTAAAATATATCTAAGTTCCTAAATTATATCTTAATTAACATTTTCATCCCTATGCTTTCAAGAAATGATTATGATATTCCTAACTTTTGCTTCAAACTCACTATTGAGTCGTTACGTCCAAAAAGTAAATTCTTATTTTTTAGACTGAAGGACCAGACAGTGAGTTTAAAGTAAAAGTTAGAAAAGTCATAATAATATCTGGAAAATATAAATGAATAATAGTAAAGATAAGTGTTATAGTGCAATAACTAGAGTGGGGCATCACACTCCCGTCCATCATGGTTGGCTAGTAACCATAACTCACATCACATAGTCTATAATTTAAGAACCCATATATATTTATCATTTTTAGTAGCTTACCTCTAATATTGTTTTTTCAAGTTTAAGGGTTCTTGTCCCCATCTATAACAGAAAATAGAATAATATATCAATAATTATGAGATTTTCTTAAGGGAATAAATGTTCTTGATCCCTAAAGAAAAAATAATGAGATTGATTATTTGATTTCAACACTTGTCCCACTGTAATCCCTACTTGATTGGACTCATCCCACCTACGCTACAACTAAAATGTAGGTCAAATGTGCAGATAAAAAAAAAGAAAAAGAAAGAAAAACTAAAAAAAAGCATCTCAAATATAAAGTAAAATAAAAAAAGACGAAAATACACCTCAAATGAAAAGAGAAAGGGGAATTTTTTTAAAGGGAAGGTTTTTCCAAAAGAAAAGCGAAAGTTAAGAGTTATTGGATGTTTATATTGCTAGCTGGTCAAGCTTTTGGAATTAAAACTACACTTGAATTAAACTAAAGGTTTTGATTTCTCACAATGAAGAATTGAAAACAAGTTAGATATACGAAATATTAATTTGTGACTTGTTTTCAGTAAGAACTTATTAGAATCTGCTGAAATTTGATAGGAAGTATGGAAGGTTTTTTTTTTTTTATCAGTTTCGATATATTCTAGCCATATGTTTTATTTTTTTAAATCAAAATATTAATTATATATAAATAATTTAGAAATTTTCAATGAATTTGTTAGGAGTTATACATTTTCAATTAGGTAAATAAGCAAATAAAAAATGAGGACAAATTAAAATATATTTCTAATATTTTGTAAACATTTAATAGCTGTTTTAAATGCAATCAAGATATGTATGAATGTGCAATCATAACTATAGTGATACGAAATGTAAAAAGTTCTTTATAACTGTAGAATTATATCAAAATTTTGTCTCAAACTTATACCTATTTATCCGGAAGAGCTTACAAAATGATTTTCTATGGTGTATGTCATTCGCAGATGATATTATTTTAATTGATGAAATTAATGAGAGAGCAAACAAAAAATTGAATTATGGAGAGGCACTTTTGAGAGTTAAGTAGAAGTATGATAGAATAAATGCATTGTGAGTTTGGCTTCAATAAGAAGAATGGAGGTGAAATGAGATTAGACAATATTGTGATACCTAAATGCAATTAATTTAGATATTTAGGCTTTACCTTTTAAAAGGGTTGCAAGATAGATAAACATGTACCTATAGAATTAGAAATAGTATGATATGTGATAGGAAGGTATCTAATAAAGTGAAAAGCAAGTTTTATAGAATAACATAACTTCTAATATTATATGGGAGTGAATGTGTTGTGTCCCAATGCACAATATGTTCACAAGATGAGTGTTGCAGAAATGTGGATATTAATTAGGATGATAATTAATTTGATGTATTGGTGGTGGAGGATGATAAACGAGAAAAAGGTAAACCTAGAATTACATGGAAGGAAATTTTTTTAAAATATTTATTGTTTTTAACATTAGCGTGGACTTATTAGTGTGTACTTGGGCATGAATAGAATGAAATGAAAATAAATGATTCATATAGGCAAACCTAATTGGTCTTGGATTAAGTATTTATTATTATTGTTATTTTATTATTTTAAATCATTATTTTTAGTGATGGTATTACATATTTATTTTTCTAAAGAAAAATATTGAATGATGTAATTCATCTTTTTACTTATTTTTGAAAAAGTTTGACAATTCATTAACATTAATAAGGAGTATAACATAATATTTTCATAAGAATAGGAATAGAAATTGAAATATTTTATTTTAGAATTATCTTTAATTTTCTGGATAAAAATTGATCATTGTTCAAATAGGAAGAGAAATTTTTTTTTTTTTTTGCAACTTTATTATTTTGAAAATTTACTACACTTAAACATTGGTAGAAGAGTTTAAAATACTAATAAGGTGTCTGATTCGATTATTTGATATAGCTAATAGTTAATAAAAATTTCAATTAGTTTTTGAATCCATCAGTTAGGTTTTGGAGCCTTCCCATATCAGCCAATAATTAATTTGTTAACAACATTCATCAAATTTTTTATTCTTTTGATGCAAATTCAACGGTATAAAATTTATTTTTGGACAAATTAAATATTACTCTTAAGTTGAGGGATTAAATTAAGCTTCATCCCTAGCAACAACTCAACCAATCGCAGTCTAAAAGTCACTGGAGGGATAGCCCTTAATATTCCCGATTTACATCCATTGCTGGCAAAGTGCCCTAGAAAAATCCAGTTCGAACCGAAACACTTGGCGGTTTAGCTGTTCCTATGCTAAGGGCATAAGTGTCAATTGGGAATACTTAAAGGCGCCCATTCAATAAAAGAAAGAGGGAGTGGATAGATAAAAAGTGCCAACTCATACCATGAGAAAAGGTGTCCTAATTTCTCCTCGCTGCTTCGAGTTCCGAACTTTGCTCTCTCTCTCTCTCTCTCTCGTTCCTACAAAAACCATTAAAAACGTAAAAGCTCGTAGTCCGATAAATCTTCGATTCCGTAAGCAAATTTTTTTCGATTTCTTTGTTTATTCATGAAAATGTCTCAATTTATGAATTTTTTTTTACATGATCCGAAGCTTAATCACCGTAAGATTGTTTTCAATTAAAAATGTCTTAATTTGTATTTTTCTTTTGTATAAAATATTTGCGGTTAATTCAATGAACTTATTTATTTTGTGGGATTTAATTGAATTAATTGAAATTGATTTTGATGAAATTTCCATTACATAGTTTTGGAATTTTTGCGTGTTTTGGTTGCATATGCTCAATGCTTTTTTTGGGAAAGCGAATAAATCTTCATATGTACTTTCGGATTTGGTTTTCCTTTGTCGTGTTTGTGTTTGTGTTTGTTTAGATGATTCTTCGTTTTTCTTGTTTCTTGTTTGAGCGATGAATTGATTTCTTTTCATATGTATATATGATTTGATTTTGACTAATGAATATATATGATGCTTTTAACCGTTAAAATTATGGGTTTTGAATTAAGGTAGAAGACAGGTTAATTGATGAAATAGAAGAGGGGGCTGAGCTGGAATTCAAGGGATATTAGATAGCTGTCAAGATTATGGCTTGTAGGGGGTGTTTGGAGTGCATACTGAAGCTTCTCAACTTTTTGCTGACCCTTGTGGGTCTAGCTATGGTTGGTTATGGAATCTACTTGTTTGTTGAGTATAAAAGAGCAGCTGATGGTGAGTCATTGGCACCTGTTAGTGGTGGTTCGGATTTGATACAACTTGGTCGTCCGATGCTTATGGCTGTGTCGTTTTCAGAAAGCATCTTTGATAAGCTGCCAAAAGCTTGGTATGTTAGGTTTATTTATTTATATGTAATTATTTGTTCTTTTGATTTTAGGTTTCAGCTAGCTGAGTTTTGCTTGACTGTGTGTTGAAAGTTTACTATATGATTTGCTATTGTAAAATGTGGATGCTGGATGGTGAGGGTAAGGCTCGTTTGAACAGTTTCGAGTATGGAGTAGGTATTTCCTGCAGGGTATGAGGGTAAAATGAAATAGGAAATCGGTTGTTAGAAACCTTGAAAGAAGGTTTGCTGGTCAGAACTTGGTAGAGGCTACTTGTCCATAGAAGGGCAAGATACATTCTAAATTGTTCTATCAAAATTTCCTTTTACTGTGATGTCCATATTTCTGTTTTGCATTTGGTAGCATTTAGTTCATGGGTTATCAGAAAAGGCTGCTTTCATAGATTTAGGGAGAACATTTTTGGAAGGAATTTTCATGGTTAGTTAGTAGACAATGGTGAGGGGAAATTTGTCCAATAGACATTCTTTGGGACAAAGCAGAAGGGCAGCTGGTTAGTCACTTGCTTCCACAATGTGATTAGGCAGCTCTTTGGTGTTTGTTTATGCTACTTTAAGGATGAAACAGCTTTGTACAGAAAATTCATGATGAAGCTTAAGGCTTTCCTTAAAACTAAGCTTAAAGAATTTTGGGAAGAAGCTCCTTTAGCTATTTGGTGGATAACTGAAACAAGAGTAATTGAGAGCTTTCCAAAATCTGGAAACAATATTGTAGAAGTGTAAACAGGCACAATGGCATGTTTTTTGTTTTGGGGACACTTGGACAGCATATTTCTGTCCTTGATATATTTTGCTGAATGCTTCTCGTATGAAGAAATTTTATAATACGTATCCCTAGTATCCATTGGTGACGTCTTTGTTCTGACCGTATTAGTCTTTGTTTGTTTATGAAGTGAGCTTTTTTCTCCCCCTTAATAATTTATAGTTCACGGTGCTAGTATACATGAGCAGTACCTTCTTGTGTCCATCTTATTAGTCTGTTCTTGCATAAAAGTGAGCTTGTTTATATTTTTTTGAGATATTGTTTGTCCATGTTATTTTCTTTTGTTGAAGAAAAGTCTGCCTTTAATGTTTCAAATAATGAGGTTGCAATAACTTTAGAGTCTTGAGTTGTACTGCTAGCATTTGAACAACAAGTTTGGCAAGAATGCTCCTCTCTCTTGATAGAAGAATTCATGCTAGTAAAAATTTAGAAATTACTGCTCTTAGTGATGGGTATTTCGTGCATTAAAAGAGTTATTGAAGATATTCATTATTTAGGTTCTTTGGCTTTATTAACTTAATTGGAATAGCTAATTATCATTGGCCTGGAAATCAGAAAACTCATAAAAAACGCAAGCTTGGAAATGAGAAAACTAACTTAAATTCGTCACTATGTTTACTTCTCCTATCTTTAAATTTTGTTGCCTTATTGCATGCCTTTAGATCCTTCGGCTGTGATACCATATTTTTGCAGGACAAGGGTGGCAGACCTTGACTAGGGATTGCTAAAGATGCTATATTTTAGGGTTTTGACCTTAATTATTAATAGTAAACATCAGGCTTGGCAATTTTGTTTTTTTTTTTTTTGCTCTGTTGCTGGCTTTAGATGATGGTATTTCGGTGCATTAAAAGAGTTATTGAAGATATTCAATATTTAGGTTACTTTGGCTTTATTAACTTATTAGGATAAAACTAGAGTTAACCATATTGGTCTCCTAGGAATACAGGAAAATACTCATGAGAAAAAAACGCAAGCTTGGGAAATAGAGTAACGGTAACTTAAATTCGTACATCCTATTATGTTTACTTCTCCTATCTTTAAAATATTTGTTGCCTTAGTTGCTTGCCTTTAGAATCCTTCAGAGGACTGTGAATAACCAATATTTTGCAGGCAAAGCAAAGGTGGCAGACCTTGATGGGGGATCTGCTAAAAGAATGCTGGGATATTGTTTAATGGGTTTATGAAACCTTCAATTATTAATAGTAAACATCAAGGCTTGGCAATTTTTGTTTTTTTTTTTTTTAGAGATGGGGGGGGTGGGTGTGGGGTTTTTAAAGTAATTATGTCACTAAATGCAGGCGTTTTGATTATATAATGGAGGGAGGAAAATAAAAAGTATTCCCGAAGACAGGGGATTTTCTTAACATCAGTTTGGCTGTTGTTTCAGCATCTTCCAAATGGGGGGGGGGGGGGGGTTTAAAGTATGCAACTAAATGCAGGCGTTTGAATATGGAGGGAGGAAATAAAAGTATTCCGAAGAAAGGGGATTTTTAACATCAAGTTTAGGCTGTTGTTTAGGATTCCAAAGTAAATGCACCGAGGAAAGGAAGCAATCACTCCCTATCAAAAGTGCTCAATGGCTGCTGAGTCTTTGTATTATTTTCTGAATTAGAAATGGTTGATTAGTTCTACAGTTATCAGAACTAGGTTCAGGAGCTTTATGAAGGGTACACAATGTTGAAGGTTTTCATGGTTCTTGTTGGTTTAGTTTGAAGCATTATCGAAACCAAACCTATTATGGTGGTTTACAAAAATTCAAACTGAACCAAACTTATGAATGTGGTTTGGTTCAGTTTAGTTGGTTTTAGGTTGAGTGTATGTTCTATAAACATGTTTTATAGATATGGAAAAAAATTTTAATTTGTAAAATTAAAAATATATTTATTTAATTCTTCAATCTTATGTTAATTTTCACATTCTAATTATTCACTGGGTCATTATTTTAAACAATTTATCAATACATAATTCAAATGTTGATTTCTTTCTACATTTATTACTAAAAAAATTATCATCTGTAATTTTTATATAATATGTACTAATATATTTTCCATGACCTTCAACATTTGGACTTTTCATGATATAAATATATAATTTACATAATTAATGTGAATGATGGTTTAATTACTACCCAATATATTTTAATCAACGCAAAGGAAATTTTGATTCAAAAATTGCATTGAATACATATATATATCAGTTTGGTTTGTGCATTTTTGACCCCCCAAAACCGTAAACCGGACCAATAACTTGGTTATTAAATTTACAGAAAGCGGATCAAACCACTTAACTGTTAAAACTGCAGTTTTGGATCGGTTTGGATCGGATTGGATCGGTTTGGGTAGTTTATGAAAACCCCTAGTACATATTCATTATGGGAACTTCTCCAGTGTTTCCTGTGTTTTTATATTCCCAATTCACTGATATTACCATTTTTAATTCATATTTTGGATCAATTTTTTGTCAAATTTAGCTCATTTTGTTAGTATTAGTTGCATGAAATCCAGAGTACATACGTAAAAGCTTCTAATGATAAAATTGGAGTTTTGGTAAATCAGGAACTATAAGTTAGAGTTATAGGCTTGGGATTTTAATCAAATTGGATAATTATATTAGGAATTTATGGCCATATGTATAGGATAATGATTTGATCTTGCTGTTCTTGATTATGGTGAAGATTTGAATTTTAAGTTGGATTCCTTCATATTGTTCTTGGTTATTAGTGAATCCAAAATTTTTGAGTCCTTGAATCTGTTGTTTACATGGAACCATGCATGGATTAAAAGTAGTGCCTTGTTACGAGAATTGAATTAAGATTTATTAAGTGCACCAGTTATATCAAATGTTGCTACTGTATTATATGATGCATCTTATAAACTTACTGAAGAGACCTATTCTGACACTTAATTAACTTAAAATGTGTTTTCTTTAATTTTGTAGTCTTTCTTTGTACTACAAAGTTCTAACTTTCTCCCATTTTCCTCTGCAGGTTCATATATTTATTTATTGGTGTAGGAGTAATTCTCTTTGTCATCTCATGTTTTGGTTGTATTGGATCTGTAACACGGAATGCTTGCTGCTTGAGTTGTGTATCCTAATCATTCATTTGATTACTTCTGGCCAAAACATGTCCACTTTATGTCATGGTGATGCTGAACTGCTGTATTTTGCTGCATGAGCCATCATCTTTGCCATCTAATTCTTGAGCAACTGAAAGAGTGTCTTCCCATATTTATATCTATGAAAATGTATGCATGCTATCAAAAAGTCGGAATAGAAATGTTCTCAGCCTAAAATTTTATTATTAAATTTTATACATAATTTCTTTTCTATTTCTAAAATATGATAATCTATGTGCATCAATATATTAACATTGCAAATCATGCATTAACCCATAGCTAATCCAAAAGGATTAAGGGAATATTTGGTGCATTTACACATAGATATACTTCCCAGGTATTCAGTTTATAATTATTTGTTTCCTTAAGCCAAAATAGTATTCAGTATTGGTCATCTTGTTGATATTGGTGGAACTGGGATGTGCAGCCTTCATTTTCTTTGACAAAAGTTGGAAAGAAGTGAGTTTTTTTTATTTTTCCTGGTCCTTTCCCCTCTAATTCTATTTGGTTTTCAATTCCACCTTTTAAACTGATATTGAAAGGTTAATATGTTATATTTTATTATGTAAATTGTGCTACAATTTTGTTCTTCAGGAAATTCCAACTGACAAAACTGGAGTTTTTAACGACATATATGATTTTCTGAAAGAAAACTGGAAGATTGTGAAATGGGTTGCTCTCGGTATAGTTGCTTTGGAGGTGAGGACAAAATAATCTTATTTGCTTTGTTATGTTTTCATATTATCAGACACACATAAACATAACCTAAGCAGCTTATCTTACTGAGTGATCGTGTATCTTGTTGCCTAGCTTCAAATTTTGGGAAGCTGAGATGGAAAAGATAAAGTAATAAGAAGAATGTCTAAATCAATTATGTTCCTTCTTTTGTTACTCATTAGCCATGTACCAAAGCATCTTTTCATTTCTGCATCTGTGATTGGCTGCATTTTGTTCAGGTAAAAGCACGGTGAAATTCATTTAACACAAAGTGCAACAAGTACTTGACTAGATAATTATATTAAGTTCGTCAACTTCTATTTTTGTTGATAGATGAAAATAATTTGTGAAAGGAAAGAAAAAGATAAAATATTATGAATAGGGATAAATGTCAGAATCTGATATTGCTTGAAGTTCTTAAAGCTTTTGTTGCGTCCTACTGTTGGTAAAGCATGCTTATTAATGCCAATTGAGATCTTAGCTAAAGCATGCTTATTGCTTAGTGCATTTGACAAATTCAATGCTGACAAACCAATGAAGCTCTTTTGAAGATATGAAGAGTTTGGCTTTGTATTAATGATCTATCTATGGAGAAGATATACTTGATTTCTAGTTTGTCCAAAATATTCTCCTTCTCAATGGATCATTTACATTAAAGTTGGTTTGGAAAAAGATTCCATGGTTCATGTTAATGGTGGTTGAAAGATTTGGTTCAGTATATGTATTCTAAAAGGACGAAACTTCCACATAGATGAGAACCATTCCCTGTAATTCTGTTCGATTTATCCTTTCTAAGAGAGCAATAATGTGGTAAATTTTGCTTTAGAAAAACTCAGCCAGTAATATTGACGAGGATTAAATCCTTGTTTGGTTGAAAATTGTGTTACTAAGAGCTCTCTTCAATAGGTAGAGAATCAGCCATTGCCAATTACCCACAGAATCCTTTTTAACTTTTGAGAATTATAATTCCACACCTTGCCAATTTCTTTTGAAAGAGGCATATTAATGCTATTGGCCACGGAGTATATCACTATTTTTCACAGAGTAACCCAGTTATATATGATTTACCTTTTGGATTGTAGATAACTTAATTTTTACCCTTAGAGCAAACGTTTCACAAGTGATCTTTGATCATATTTCAGTTGAGGAGAAAAGTTGAAAGTTGGCTGTTATAATGATCAGATTGATATTTGATAACATTTTGAGGGACTTACTTTTAGTAGAAGAAAAGGAGTGATTAATGAATAATCACATTGTGAAGGACTCTTAATGACATGAGATATGGGATACATATTGTAATTTAGTAATCTCAAATGCATTTTAGAATATATGTAAGTTACTATTTTCCTTCAAAAGGATGAATTGCAATGTGAAAATTGATGCAAATAAACTGGAACCATCTGTTCCTGGTTCCACATAATAACTCCATAAAATATCATCTTTTCATGTTTTTCGATAAAGAATCAATATGCAGAATTCTGAATTGAGAAATTAGATGCCTTCATTTGATCGCATCACAATGGGTTGTTTTATTATTCTAAGAGCCTATCGGAGTTAAATTTGAATTTGTCCATTTATCTGACAATGAAAAAGAAGGCGATTTGGATCTTAGCACAAGGCAAACAATCCTTTACATCTAATGTTTTAGCTTAAGTTGAAGTGTTCTGATGTTAGATTCAATTGATTTAAGAAAATGGTTCAACTAATACTATCCTTGTATCATATGGGTAGTTGCAAGAACTCAGAAGATGGTGTGATTAATTTCCTAATCATGCATAATTGTTAAAGCCTTTGGTAACCTAATGGAAATGAAATGAATAAGTTCTAGTTTCCGTGATCTTTTATAGACATAATTGTCCGGCAGTGTTTCCTTAATTTAGCAACATATAGTAATTACGACAAGTATTTATAATCTGTGATTTTGTTCTCTAAATTAACCACTAACCAAAGAATTGCTTCCTTGTACTCTCAAATGAATCGTTTACAACAAATTAACATGTTATTTCAGGCTCTACTTTTCGTGATAGCGCTGATGGTTAGGGCAGCAAACCGGCCAGTAGAATATGATAGTGATGATGAGCTTATTGCCCCAAGGCAACAGGTCAGGCAGCCTTTGATTAACAGGCCACCAGGTCCAGCAGCAGGTGTACCTGTTGCTGGAGCCCTTGACCAGCGTCCTAGCAGAAATGATGCTTGGAGCACACGAATGAGGGAAAAGGTATGCTATTTTTTGAGCCAACTTTAATTTTTAGCATAACATCATTCATAACTGCCTATATGATGAGCTTGCATGTTTCTATGGGTCGTTCTGTTAAAGTAACATGCAAAGTCTTGACATGACTAGTGAATTTTCATGAGCTTAATTTTCTGACATTTGATTAGTAGTATAATGATAAATTATTTATAAATGAGTTCTAATAAAATTCCGGAACTCTATATCCTTGAATATTCATTTTCCCCTTTGCAGTTGGTGGAGTTCATTTTGTGATGTGAATTGCTCATGTTAATATTCCTACTTTGTTTGTGTCTATTTTATTTTGCATTACAAATTCACAATGGAAATTGATCTTCCATGTCCTTTTGTTTTTTAATTGCAAAATTTCCCTTTAGGTTGCATTATAATTTAGTCCCAGTATCAACAAGACCTTAGTCCTGTACTTTATTTGGCTTTCGTTTTAAATTGTACACATGTAACATGAGACAAAAAAATTTTTATACTTTATTTGAGCAGCCGGTCAAATTCTTGATTTTAGGAATGAGCGAATTTTCTCAAGTTATTAGTTTGTGCATTTTCAGATGGAATCACTATAGGGCAATTAGGCATTTCCTTGTATTTATCTGGTGTGACTTACAAACAGACTATTATTTCAACACGACATGTTATAACTGCATACCATCTCCAACTACTGAAAGAAAATTGATGGCATATTTTTTTATGGCATCTAGTTCCTAATTCTTCTGCTATCTGCATGAAAACCAGTATGGACTTGATACTTCAGAGTTCTCGTACAACCCATCTGAGTCACAGAGGTTCCAGCAAGTACAGACACAGCCTGCAGAAGAAAGGAGCCGATGCACAATCATGTAATGACTTCATGGGTCTTGCAGGATTGATATCTCTAACTTTCTTTGGACGGATTCATTGGACAAGGTGTGAGAGAGTTTTGTTGTTTTTGTGTACAATATATCAATTGTTCAGGAGTTCTTACATGTCTACAGATTCTACACCCTTCCCCTCTTTGTTATCTTCTTAAAACCCACTTTCTTTCTGTGTGCGTTGTCATTGTTGTTCAAATGGATTGTCCTGCTCTGCCATTTTTGTTCATTTTTTTCTTCTGTTTCTGCTAATTTGATGAATTCTTCTCTCTGCATAATTTTGTGGGTGTTGTATGTATGCTGGCTATACCATCCATGTCCGTTTCTGTAAAGTAAATATATCTTTATTGTTCTTTTCTAATGTTTTATGGCCAAATACATAAATTTACCTCTCAACTTTTCAGTATTAATGTTGTGGCACTTTGTGCGAGTTTTATAAATGACTTATCATGTATTTGAACTTATAAATGACTTATCGTGCATTTGAATTTATAAATTTTGGTAATATTGTGTACACTTTTACATATTAATAGCAGTAGTTTTTAATATTTTTGGTTTATACGCAAAATATTAATTTGATAACCTATGGTATAATAATATTTATATATTTTAACTATCTAATAAGTGTTTAACTAATTTAATTCTGCAAGTTGAAGTATCTAAATAAAATAATTTTGCAAGTTTTAAGCAAACAAATTTTGAATATTTACCCAATGTTTTTATTAATATCTTGCTATGCATATTGGCACGATGACATCTATCCCTTACATAGAGCTTTTGAGTTGAAATCTTCCATCAAGTCAAAAGTTATATGTTGGAAATTGATAAAATTAAGATAATTGAATGACCATAAATTAAGGATTACTTAGGATCAATTACCCTTTTGCGGGAGTTGCCTTGTCGGACTGACGGGCCTGCTTTCTTTTAGTGATACATGCATCGGTTATTTTCATATTAAGTGTCTATTTGGAGAATTTAATTAGGATTAAAGAAATTATGCAAGATCATTAATAGGGTTACTATTTAATTAAAATGCGCTTTTAGTGAGAAACAATTTAATGAGTTAAGCTGACAAAGAGTGTATTTAGATTAGAAATAGTTGTATAATGTCATTTTGATTTTAAGAAAGCATACTTGGCATTGGAAATTTTTTCTTTCAGAATGGATACTTAATATGGAACGGAAAGAGCAATGTTTTTAAAATATTTTATTTAGATATAATTGCCAAAATGAAGAAGCAAATAATTTTAGAAATCTATCAATAAAATGAACCCATTAGCACATAATTTTAGGGCTTTTACAATAATATAGAATTCAAAAATTCTGTGTAGATAAAGAAAATATTGTCATACTAACCTACTATAGCAGGTAAACATGATAGGTTAGTTATAATTTTCTTTTATTTTTCATAAATTTCTTTCTTTTTCTTTTAGTAGAAAAAGTTTCTTTTTAAATCACATATTTTAAAAAAAATTATATGCCATTATTTTTAAATATACATTTTTTTCAATTTTTTTTAGCAAAAAGTATTTTTTAAAATTGGTAGAAATATTTTATTTCTCTTTATAAATTATTTTTATTTCTCTCTATAAGTTCGCTTTCTAAAACAAATATAAAACGTATCCAATAATTAATGACACAAGTTCACGTGAACCAATAGCATGTTTCCTAGTAATGACACGCATTGTACATTCTTTTCTTATTTAGCCATTTCTCCTTCTCTCTTTAATAATTTTTTCTTTGTTGTAATACTCTTGTTTATTAAATTAAAAATTATTATTTTTATAATATTTTTGAAAATTTCATATATAAAAACATGAAATATGATTCATAAGATTCATTGCATAAAGTTATTTCACAAATTAAAACTATATTTTGAGTTTAAAATTAAATTTATTTTAAAATGTAGTGATATTTTTAAGCACGACAACTAAGGTATCCTTTTTAAAATGTGGTAAGGGGAGAAATATTTCAATTTCTAATCTTCGTAAAGAAATTGGTTTATTTTCTCTCACTATAGCCTCAGATTCAGCTTTATCGCTCAGAGAACAAAATAACACAAAACAAGTACAATCCAACTTAATAGGATTAATGGACAATCAGGGCTTAACAATTGGTTATAGACAAATTCCAGCCGTGGAACCAAATAGGCAACTCTTTATTCCTTGAGTCAATGGCACTAGACAGCATTGTACATTCTTTTCTTGATGTTAAGCCATTTTCTCCTTCTCTCTTTACATATATGGTTTTCTTTGTTGTAATGAGGCCGCTTGTTTTATTAAATAAAAATTAGTTATTTTTATAAGCAATTAATCTTTTCGAAGAGAATGTTGCATATAATACAGCAAAACATAAATCTGGATTTCATAAGATTCATTGCATAAAGTTATTTCAACAAATTAAAACTAATATTTTGAGTTTAAAATTAAATTGCATAGAGTCTTCACAAATCGTAGTAGAGAGGTGGTAGATACGTGGTATTAGAGGGCTACACCTCATAGGCTAACTTAGGCAAATAATCACCTAACATCCGGTTTAAGTGTTATATATATTATTATATAATATATTTCAATTGTATATTTATATATATTTCAATTTGTATAATTTTATATTCTAAAATAACTAAATAGTTTTTGTTGAAAAATAAATAAATGTTAAGTAATCTTTGAATCACAAAAATTTTTAAAAATGAATTTAATATAAGAAAAATTCTACAGTATTACCTATAATTGAAATTTTGATAAGCAACCATTTAAGTGAATTTAGTTAAGTAATTTAACTAGACGGAGGCTTGCGCATTACGCGGATTGCTTTATTTCTTTGTTATTGTACATTGTATTAGATGTTACTTTTTATTGCACATATAAAAATAAAGGACACAACAAATTAAACAATTCAATCTAAAACTAAAAAAATAATAAATATTCAAATATAACTATATTATTTTAAATAAGTAATAATTTTTAAATATAAAAAGTATTTTAAATGATCAAATAAAAATAACAAAAATAAAAATTTAAAATTGAAAATATAGATTTAGATTATTATTGTAAATGAATAATTAATTTTTATGAATATTAATTTTTAAAATATAATTATTTGATATAAATGATAATAAAATTTAAATAATAAGAATATTATTTTAAATATGGGTAGGTGTAAATGTTTACTTTGCAATTATACTTATATTTCTCTTGGCAAGATGATGATGATGAATAAATAAAGTAAATAAATATAAATTATACTTATACTTCTCTGCCCAATTATAGTAAAATTTTCTCAAAACTCAAATACTCAAATCATGCAATTTATTGACTTAACAAATTGTAGAATAATAATAATAATAATAATTACATGAATTAAAAAATTATAAATAACTAAAATTTACATATATATGAATATGAAGGAATGAATAAAAAAATTTTACAGTTTTTTACTATTTACTAAAAATATAATAAATTAAAAAAAAAAAATACACAAATGGATTAATAGTTAGCTTTTCTTTTTCTTTATCTCCATCAACATGATATTTCTCATGCTTGCATAATAGAGAGAAGAGAAATCATAGGATGCACAGAAAAAAAAGAGAAATCATAAAAATTACACAAAAAAAATTAAAAAATCTGAAATGTGAAAAAAAGAAAAAAAAAAAGAGATCAAAGAATTAACATTACCTCAGTCGAAAAAAAGAAATTAACATTATTTGGATTGAAGTAAATGAATTAACGTTATTTGAATTGAAGTTGTAAAATAAAAAACCACACATATATACAAATAAAGAAAGCAATCAAAACTCAGAGAATTGAGGAGCAACAAAATATAAGTAAAAAACCATTGTGAAAGAAAATCGTTGGAAATGATTAATATGGAAGTATATAAGTATAATAATATATATATTATATATAATATATATATATAGTATATATATATATTATATATATTATATATATATTAGATTAAAAAATTTTTTTAAAATTTAATTTACAAATTCAAAAAGATTCAAAAGTTTTTCAAAAGTTTAATTTAAATTCAAATGTTTTAAAGAATTAAAATTTTTTAATTTCAAAATTCAAAAATAAATTTCAAATTTTAAAAAGTTTTAATTTTAAAATTCAAAAGTTTTAAATTATTAATTATTTTAAAATTTTAGGATTTATGTTAGATTAGAATTAGATTAGAAAATTTAAATTATTAATTATTTAAAATTTTAGATTTATGTTAGATTAGATATTAGATATAGGAAAATAAATGTTTAAAATTAATTAAAAAATTAGAAAATTTATATAAAAAAAAAAGAATGTTGAAAGAATAGAGTGCCAGGTAAACTTCTTGAAGATTCTTTTTCTTTAGGATTAGATAGATAGATATAGCTACTCTTTAAAGATATATAATTTAACATAATTTAATTCTTCTAAAAAAAAATAATTTAATACTTAAAATAAATAAAAGGTAATTAATAATTTAGCTTAATTACATAATAAAAGATTATATTAACTATAATTAAATAATACTTTATTTGGACACATCCTTATATTTTTAGGTATTTTAAAAAGATTCAACAAGATGTTTTATTAAATTTGCATAGTTATTAAAAAACATAAATATTATATATTCTCAATCTAACACATAACTTGTTTTGCAGGTGGTAAGTCATTTTGAGTAGTTTTAAATCTAATGGTTTAGGTATAATAATAATAAATCTAATGGTGTAAGAACATTTTGTATTGATACAGAAAATTACTATTCTTTATAATAGTTTAACCCTAATTTTACAAACCCGTTAATAAGATGAATCTATGAAACTCATAAGGACTCGATGTTTTTTTAATAACATTTACTAGACCATATTGAAGAGTGACAACCCAGGCAATTAGGAAAGGACCAAATAAGAATTTCTTGTCCTTAGTAATTGCTTAGCTTCTATTTTTTTTAACGCTAATGAGCACAAATCGCTTGAAAGTGCAATATTATTCTATTAGTTAAAAACAAATTGGTGGGCGCTAGTTAGTTGCAGTTAAAGACGCGTATAGGGGAAAAGTCTAAATACGTATGAAGATGTTTGGGGATAATTGTGTAATTTGAACAGAGGAATGTTGGCAAAGCGAATCGTATGAAGCAGAGTGATTTAGCTGTTTTGAAAGTCAGAAAGAGTAGACGAAATCCCTAGAATTTATGTGAAGAAGGCGTGAACAAAGAGGAAAATGGAGGGCACGAGAAGTGAATATAGTCTTGCTGCTTTTATAACAACCAGGCAATCGTATCGTTTATTGAACATTAGCATTTGTGTATTTTTTTTCCATAATAGGGATTGCCTTTGGAGAGTGTTTACGCTTTATTTTCTGCATTATGAATGATTTGGAA